CCAGCCCTGCCATGGCTGCCCTGCCTGCTGCAGCTCCGGCCCTTTAAAGAAAAAAAAAACCCAAGAAAAACCCCAGACTCACCATTCCTGCCAGGTGGGGGGTGATCCCCACTGCCCTCCACTGCCCCATACCATGTGGGGGGCTCTGGATGAGTCCCCCGAAACTCCAAGGGCACTTCTTGAGCAGTGAGTCCAGGGTTTTTCTTGTTTTTTCTTAAAGAGCCGGAGCTGGGGCAGGCGGGGCAGTCATGGGGGGGTTGGGGGAGCAGGCAGGGGGTGGGACCTGGCAGGGGTCCCCACATGGTCTTCTCCCCCCTCTCTGGCCCTCCTCCCCGCCCCCTACTTACCAGCTCCGAGTCCAGCTACAGCTCCTCAGGGACTGCCCAAATCATCGAAGTTCTCCGAATCTTTTCTACAGATTCAGAGAGCTTCGAATCGATTCAGACCTTTTAATTGGTCCCCTGATTTGATTCGGATTTGGAGATTTGGCTGCTGAATCTCCTCTGAACTGAATCACCACCCAAAGCTTAACAGAGTCCTAGTGGATATAAGGAATTGATCAGTTTACAAGACAGGACAAAGTGCAATAAGGAGATACAAAAAACAAAAGGAGGGAGAAAAGACAAAGTAATAATGATAGTAATATGCAAACATGTCAATTAGCTAAGTGCACAACTTACCTGTTAGACATTTTCTACTCTTATTTGTAAATGATATCAGGTAATTCCTGCCACCTGCTTGCCTATCTATTTTAGTAAAAGATTTATCAGAAGTATCTCAATAAAAAAAACTCTTGAGGAGGTATTTGCAAAAGACAAGGCATTGACCTAATGAGTTGTGGCAGGGGAGTTCAGAGCAGGAATAGCAGTATAGAAGAAAGTACAAAGGTGCTTAAGGGAGAAGTGAGCAAACAAGCAATTGGAGCATGATATCACCAGTCGGGACAAGATAGGCAGAGGTTGTTGGCGAGTGAATAAATAAGGAGGGGCAAAAGCATGATTGCCCTTTAAAAGGAAGGACGAGAGCTATTTCATGTGTTAGGGGAGAGTAACCCGAAGGAGGGGTTCAGAGGGTGGGGTGGCATGGCCAAAACAGCTGACAAAGATTTAGAAGCAGTGTTTTGAATGAGGTGAGTAGTACGGATTTGTATGTGTGCAGTTCTGGATTTCAGTTTAGCCTAGGCAATTAATATGACTTGTTCTTCTTGTCTAGAAATAGTTGAATCACCATTCTATAATTACTAGATTGATTGTGAAACTGTACAAAACAAAGCCATTTAATTATTTCAAAAATGTATTTGAGCTAATTTGTATACAAAGTGCTTAACATTTACTTCCTTCTAGGCAGCATTTGCATTACCTTTCTATAGACTGGTCATCCACAGAAATACCAAGGAAAGGACTTGTTTTCACATCTTTAACATGACAGTATATTTTGAATCTACAGAAGTACAAGTTGTTTAAATTAAGATAGGAGAGGACTGGGCAGTGAAAAGGAGGCGTTCCATTTTTCCATAAGCTACCACTTCTCACCCACCCTTTCCCGTGGTGAAGCTTTCTGTATACACATTTTGCATGTTTTCTGCTTCTGAAATAGCATGTGGTTTCTGAAAAGGTGGCCACCTTCAAACAACTCAGACTCAGAGGTCAACATACGAAAAAAAGGTATATTTTAATACCTGTGGTATTATTTTTAGTAAAGAACTAAGTGATTTTTTTTGTTTTTGTTTTTTCTTCTTCTATTTATATATGCTGGGTTGTCTGTTTTTGATATTTTTTTTTTCTTTCTGCTGGTCCTTGCCTACATTTCTGAGTGGCTGAGGAATTAGGTGCAACAGCCATCCAACGTTGTGCTTGTGAGAGGAATGTGTGTCTTGTATTAGGAGTCCCAACCGGGGGACAATGGAAGAGGGGTCAGCTTCAACCGGTGAAGGTGAAAGGCTTGGTTGGTGGGAATGGAAGTTGCTGAGGGGCAATCCTTACTTTTTGGGGAAGCTGGGATAAGGATGGGATACAATTTAATAGAAAGGAAAGAACTTTTTTTTTTTTTTTTAAGCGTTTAAATGCTGGGGACAGATTAAAACATTAAGGACTATAGCATGGATATTAATCCTCTGTGAGGCTGAGTCCCAGTTTGACCAAGAAATGCTTCTGCTTGCATAGATTATTGGGATAAGTCTGAGAATATTTTCCCTCCAAGTTGCTGCATGACAGGGAAAGTGGGAGCCTGTTTCTGGATCTAGCATTGCATAAGTAATGGGGGGGGTTTTTCAAACATCCTCGATCTTCCCATGCATGCCCCTCTCCATCCCTGCACTGCTGCTGCCTAGGGCAGGGCTCCCGGGCTGGCCAGTCCAACCCCGCCGCCACCCCCTTGCCCGGGCAAGAGCATGCGGTGCCCTCAGCTGGCCTAGGAGAGGGGCCTGGACTTGTCTCCAGAGACGGCCGAGTTGCTCGTTTTATACGTGGGAATCGCCAACAACCAGCACAAGCGGAGAAGACCGGGCGGGTTGCTGCCCCTACCTTCCGGTCCGTCTAAACGTGAAGCGGCGTCTCGAGCAACTCGCCCGGAGCAACCCCCAGGCCAGCAGCCGTCCCCCTCTCCTGCCACGGTTGCCCTCCTCCAAGCGCCCCCTCCGCTCCTCCAGCCCGCGACGAGCCGGGTCCCGGGGCCTGCCCCCGCGTTCCCGAGCCTGAGCCGGAGCCGGCCCGCAGGGG